CTCCTTCTCTCAGACAGCAGCTCCCGTCTCCACCCTCTGGAGGGTGCTGAACTTTGCCAAAGAAGCCCCTGGAGTCCTCAATCCCCTGCCAAGGTGACTGACAGGGGCCTCACGACCTGCAGCTCCCGCCATGTGCCTCTGACCCCTCAGTCCTCCCATGTGTCTCTGCTGCCCCAGGGGTACCTCTGCCCGGCCCCCTCCATTTACCTGTGACAGCTCATGTGCTTCTGCTGCCCCCTCCCCTTCTGTCCTTCAGCCAGGTATCTTTGCAGCCCCTTGCTGGGGGAGGTGTGGAGCAGCACTGCCCCAGGGAGAGGTCAGGGAGCAATTCTGGGTTTGCAGGAGGAGCATCACCTTCATATTGGTGCACATAATAAAATGCATGTGGTGGGGCTGGGGATGAGGAGTTTGAAGTGCGGGAGAAGGCTCAGGGCTGGGGCAGGGTGTGGGAGGTGAGGGGTCTGGCTAGGGGTGAAGGCTCTGGGGTGCGCTTGGGATGAGGGGCTCGGGGTGCGGGAGGGGGCTCAGGGCTGGGGCAGAGGGTTGGGGTGTGGGCTCTGGGGTGGGGGCAGGGATGAGCGGTTTGGGGTGCAGGCTGCCTTGGGGCTGTGGTGGGGAGAGAGGACTTCCCCCAGCCCTCTCTCATCGCATCAGCTCGGGGCCAGGGGAGAGGTGCTTCTTCCCCACCATGGTAACTCCAGCAGGGCTGGGCCAAGGGAGGGGCTCCTCTCCCCGGCAGCTCCGGTGAGCCTCAGCTGGGCCAAGAGAGGGGCTCCTCTTCCCCGGCCACAGCAAGTCCGGGGCTGGTCTGTGCTGGAGGAGAGGCATCTCTCCCCGCCACAGCCCCGAGCCTCTGCCTGGGGCTTAATAGGCAGCTGCATGGCCATGCAGCTTAGAGGGAACTTAGGTTGCAACCCCCCATCAGAACACCCTGGAGGAAAATAGATAATTTTGTATTCAGTGGTTTGTGCTGAATGAGGCCTGGGGCCATACATTGAGTCAGCAGGACAAAAAGGATCCTGACTAGCTGTCCAGACAGCGAATGGGGAAAAAATGGGATGTGATCAAGTTACGTCAAAGACTGTATCATGGTGCACATGCACGAGGGGGCTGAACTCCTGTCCCATGGGCATCCTTAATTCTGGCATTTCCTATCTTTTAAGTGCTTGAATCAGTAACCTTATGTTCTTGTAACACAGGGATTTAATTTTTGTTTTAATTTAATTTGATATATGTGTGTGTTATTCCTGAGGGAGGAGGCCGAGGGAGTCTGTTTGGGCTGGAGTTGTGAGCAGAGACTAATGGATGCAGTAGGGGACCAACCACCCGAGAGAGCGGCCATAACACCTACATTGCTAGCCTCAACATGTGAGTGTCTCTAGGGCAACGGTTATCACGTTCACTCTATGTGCAGGACTGATACAAGCAAATCCAGCTCCCTGTAAAGCTGTGTATTTAGGGACCCGTATATGGGCCATCCCTTGGCAGTAGTACTAAAGCTGACTTACACCAGCTGAGATCTGCCCCCAGGCAGAAACCCATCTCTCTGCTTCCATCCTAAGAGGAGTGGGACCAATGGATTCTGGTTCCCATTTTTCTTATTTCTCTGCTGAAATGAACAGCAAACCTCTCGTTTCCACTTCTCAGGTGGGACAAGGGCTTCTGGCAGCTGTAAACAAAAACAAAAACCTGAGAAATTCTTAAAATGAGGCAACAAAGCCCCAAATGGTGGAAGGTGGTGGGGTGTGAGCCAGCATGGGAGCTCAGAGTTGCTGCTTATTTGATCTCAAAGAAAATTGCCCCAGAAAGATGACAGAGATTAAGAATTTCACATGGATGTATCAGAAACATGTCCTCCCTTCTTCCGTTTAACAAGCAGCAATTTCCTTCTGAGTAACTGTCTGGGTGACTTGTAAAACTTTCCAAGCTCACTTTTGACACTTATGATATTTGTGGTCCACGAAGATCCAATTCTGCTGACTACATTTTTGTCAAAAGTTCTGTTTTCATGATTTTTTTTAATATTAAAGATAGTGATTCTTCCCCCCACCCCCAAATAGGATGTAAGCCTCAACTCCTGCTGATATCACTGCTATTTATTTATCAAGATTGAAAGTCCAGTCCCCATTCTGTCTGCTGCTCGCTATGATACGTGGCTTGTCTTGGTTAAAGCTGCTACGATATTTTCTCCCAACATGGAGCGTGTGGGAAGGGAGAAGTGGTGAACATGTCTATGGAGTTCATGAGCTCACTATTCAGAGAAACCAGTTGCTGAAGCCAAAGGGGTGAATCCAAAAGTCAATAAAAGGAATAAAAACCAACACAATATACATACATGGACTAAGAAGGCTTTAAATCACACTTGCTGTGGTATGAGGGTTGTTAGAGAAATTCAGAAAGTGCTGAAAATCACTTTTAGCGGAAGATGTTTTAGTTTCTTTGTATTTCACAATAAGCTTTGAGCAAATAGTTTCCTGTTCCTCTTCCTAGGTTTTTATATATATCTATCTGTGTTTGAACACAAAGAAGACTGAGAGAAACAGATCAAACCAGGGCCTTCAGATGATGCTTGTGAGAGCGTTCTGACTAACAGTAAGTCCATCACTTTCTGCATTTTCTCTTGGGATGGGCTAACTTTAATCTGAGCTAGTTGTAGTTTGTACATGTGGGTGGTGAGACATGTCAGAATGGGGCCCGTGGGTATGTTTACACAGCAAGTGAGAGGTGTCATTCCCAGTGCAGGTAGACATGTGCATGAGCTGTGTTTGTGCTCTCGCCTCAAAGTAGCAGCATGGGCGGTGGCTTGAGCTAGCCACCCGGGTATGTATCCAGGGGGTCGGGCAGGATTTTACTTGGGCATCTAGCCTGTGTTTCCACCACCAAAATACACTGGTATTTTTAGGCCCTAGTTCAAGCAGAGCTGAAGCTCACATCTGTCTGTCTGTCCAAGCTGAGACTGACACCTCGCAGTTGCTATGTAGACGCACCCAGTGATGAGCTGCCAGAATGTTAACAACCGGATCCCTACTGGGTCTTCGGCGGTACTTCGGCGGCGGGTCCTCACTCGCTCCGGGTTTTTGGCAGAACTTCAGCGGCGGGTCCTTCAGTGCCGCCAAAGACCTGGAGCGAGTGAACAACCCGCTGCCGAAGTGCCGCCACTGACCCGGTAGGGAACTGGTTATTAAGCACCTCCCGGTGAGTACAAGCCCAACACCATCCACCCTAACTGCCCCACAGGGTCCCACCCCCTATCCAACTTGCCCCGCTCCCTGTCCCCTGACTGCCCTGACCCCAGGGGTGAAAGTAGAAATAGGGACTTACCGGTACGGGGCTGGGTTGGGGCCAGCTCTGGCCCTCGGAAGGGGCAGGGATGGGGGGTCAGAGCCAGCCCCAGCCCTCCTTGTACCGGTAAGTGTCCTCCCCCTCCCTCGCCGGGGTAGCAGCGGCAGCTGGGGGTTCCAGGAGCAGTTTAAAGGACCCAGGGCTCGGGCGCCGCTACCGCCCTGGACCCTTTAAACTGCTGCCGGAGCCCCCAGCTGCCGCTGCTACTCCAGGTCTCCAGCAGCAGGGCTCCAGTGGCTATTTAAAGGGCCGGGGCCATAGAGGCAGTGGGAGCCCCAGGCCCTTTAAATAGCCCTCAGAGCCCCGCCGCTACTCCAGGGCTCAGGGGGCTATTTAAAGGGCCCAGGACTCCCCTGCTTCTACAGCCTGGCCCTTTAAATAGCCCCCGGAGTCCTGGGGTAGCGGCAGTGGGGCTCTGGCGGCTATTTTAAAGGGCTGGGGCTCCCACCGCCTCCATGGGCCCCCGCCCCTTTAACAGCCACC